TTGTATGTGTATACAGGAATAAACCATTAAGATCTAAGCATATAAATCTAAAAAAACTTCTTCTTCGTGCATATAGCTTAGGTCATTTAGTTGCTGTCTTACCATTTGTTTGTCGTGTCTTGGAGGCAATTTCTTCATCAAGAGTATTCAAGTTGCCTAATCCATGGACTGCTGCACTTATTAATCTATTAGCCGAACTACATAGATTACCTCATCTAAGGTAATTCTTTTCTTGTGCTGCTGCTGTTGTTGTTGTTGCTGTTGCTGCTGCTGCTGTTGTTGATGGGAGAGGTGGTGCTGCTGCAGATCGGGGTGATGGTGATGTAGCTGTTGCTGCTTATTCCTATATATAGATGGTGCTGCTGCTGTTGCTGCTATTGTTGCAGCTTCCCGTACATCATTTTATTTCTCTTAATTTCCCTAAATAAACTAATTAAATTAAATTAAATTAAATTAAATTAAATTAAATTAAATTTATATTTATTTATTTTGTGTACAGGACGAATCTATTATTTGATATAGAAGTACTATTTAAACGTCTTGATCTAAGTGTATCAAATTATGGATATGAGAAATGCGTGTTACCTCAGCAGCCGTTGCCAGTAGACAGTGCAGATTTTGTTGCTAGACCTCAGCAGCAGCAGCAGCAGCAGCATCAGCAGCAGCAGCATGATGCGGCAGCAGCAGCTGCTGCAGCTGCAGCTGCAGCTGCTGCTGCCGCTGCTGTACGAGGTGGACAGGTGCAACAACAACAACCGGGCGCAGGATTATTTGCTGCAGATGATAGAGGTGTACGAGCACTTGGGTTGCTCCTCCAGCAGCAGCAGCAGCAACACCGATTCGGCAGTACAGGTCTACCTCTTGATACGCAGCAGCAACGTGTTTTCGATGCTGCTGCAGCAGCTGCAGCAGCAGCAGCTGCCGCACATACACCGGGGACAACTCCTGCAAGAGCTGCTCTGCAGCAGCAGCAGCAGCAATCGTTTGTTGATGCTGTACCACGGATGGACTCCGCAGCAGCAACTGCAGCAGCAGCTGCTGCAGCAGCAAGAAGGGGGGCAGCAGGAGCAGAATCCTTCGCCCCTGTGGCATCAACCTCACATGTTCGTCTTCATTTCTGCTGCTGCTATTGCTGCTGTTGTTGGTACTGTTGCTGCTTTTGCCGCTGTATAGTATGCCGTGTATAGGCACCTGTTTGTTATGCTTTTACGTTTTTCTTTTTGTGTTATTTTGTTTGCAGTCTCCTCTCCGTCTAGGTTCTGCTGGAGCCCCTGCAGCAGCAGCAGCAGCTGCTGCTGCAGCAGCAGCAGCAGCAGCAGACCCATCACCTGCAGGAAGAGATACTCTGCTGCAGTCCCTTCGTTCTTGTGTTGTTGTGTCTCCTTCTATTGCTCTCTTTGCCTTACAACCATCACTCAAGGCTGTCGTCCCTGTTGCTGTAGAAAGAGCTATTCGCGATATCATCTCCGCTGTTGTTGAACGATCAGGTACGCTGCTGCTGGTGCTTGTGCTGCTGCTGTTGCTGCTTGTGCTGCTGCGGTTGCTGCTTGTGCTGCTGCTGCTGCTGCTGTTGCTTTTTGTAGCTTTTCTTGTTATAGAATAGTTATCTTTATATATCTTTGTTTTCTCTGCTGCTGCATCTACCGTTGCTCTCACTCCTGCTGCTGCTGCTCTTATAGTATAATAATATATTATTGATGTGTATGTGTATTGTGTGCTTGCAGTATCAATATCTTGTGTAGCAACACGTGAATTAGTATGCAAGGATTTTTGTGTAGAGAAGGAAGAAGCATTAGTAAAAAGAGCAGCACATTTAATGGTTACTTCCTTAGCTGGATCATTAGCTCTTGTTACATGCAGAGAACCATTAAGGGTTTCTCTTACACAACATTTACGTCAATTATTACAACCAGCTACACATAATAAAGATGATGCAGATCTGGTTAGTTCCTCCTCTATTACCTTTTCCCCCCCTTCCCCCTTTTATTGGATAGATTACTCTTATAATTCATTATATATCTTTTTATTTCCCTTAATAAAATATAATTAAATAAGGGTTAAATTTTTTTTTTTTTTTTTTTTTTTTTTTTTTTTTTTTTTTTTTTTTTTTTTTTTTTTTTTTTTTTTTTTTTTCTCAGGCCTTAGTGGAGCAGGTGGCCCATATAGTTGGCGCGGATAATCTTGAATTAGGCTGTGCGGTGATCGAGCAGGCGGTGGTGGAGAAAGTACTACGAGATATAGATGTAGCAATAGGTCCATCCTTAGCAGCAAGAACGCATGCAAGAGAGAGAGGATTATTATTTATAGATCCTCAGTTTATACACTGCAGCGGTAGCAACAGCAACAGCAGCACAAGCAGCAAATGGCCTATGGCATTACCTGATCCTCTTAAACCTAGACCGTCACTTTGTACTAGACAATTACAGGTCTATAAGGACTTTCTTGCACTTGGGCCATTAAGGAAGATGCAACAATCTGCAGCAGCAGCAGCAGCAGCAGCAGCAGCGGCTCAACAGCAGCAGCAGCAACAACAGCATCAACAGGCGGCAGCTGTTGGACTTGCAGCACAAGCATTAGCGGGAGGTGCAGCAGCTGGAGCATTACTAAGACAACAACAACAGCAACAGCAGCCTGCAGCTTTCGCCGCTGCTGCAAGAGTACAACAGCAGCAACAGCAGCAGCAGCAGGTGGATTTGGCGAAGCTACGAAGTCTGTCTTCCCAAGAATTGGATGTGCAGCAGCAGCAGCAAAAGTTGCTGTTATCTCGTGTTGCAGCATCAAACTCACCGGCATCTGCTGCTCTTGCTGCATCGTCTGTATCATCTTCAGCATCATCAGCAGCAGCAACAGCAGCAGCAGCAGCAGCAGCAATACGTGAACCTTTACCTATACCTGCTGCGGGTTCTCTTAGTAATGCTGATGTTGTTGCTCGTTTTGACGATTGTTTAAATTTAATTAAAGAGGAAGTTATCGCTATTTTTGCTTGTCCTCCTGTTATGCCGTCAAGCCCACATACAGAGAGGGTACATTGCTGCTGCTGCTGCTATTGTTGTTGCTGCTGCTACTGCAGCTTGTATTGTTGTAGCTGCTGTGTGTTCTACCTTTGCTGCTGGTTGGTAGTTGATTGATATGCTGTTCTCTCAACTCCTTTTGCTGCTGCTGCTGCTGCTGTTCTTGTGTGCAGTTCTCGTCTCCAGTTGGCTGCCGTGCTGCAGCAACGCCCGTTCCCCGATGCAGTACAGCGGCACTGTTAGTTGCTGCTTGCTTACCATCGGATGCGCAGCTCTTTGTGCTGCTAGAGTCTGCTCTTGCTATAGCAGCAGCAGCAGCAGCAGAAGCCGAAGCAGCAGCACTCCTTGCTCATAGAGTGATGCGAGCTATGCTTGCTGCTGCCTCTTCCTTCCAAACACGTCCTTCGCATTCTCCTATTAGAGGGGTTGATAGAGTCTGTAAGGCATAAACCCTAAACCCTAAACCCTAATTCTTAAGAACAAGGGGAGATTTCCTGCTGCTTTCTTGTTGCTGGTTGTGCTGCTGCTAATCTACCTATACACCTACATACGTAGAACACTTATTCTGTTCCTTGCTGCGGCTTCTGTTCTTGCTGCTGCAGCTCTCTATTTGGAGGTATATGCTGCACTACTGGAGGGTCTACAGTCTGGCCGGGTTGAAGTGCGGCGTCTATGCACCGATGTGTTTACCCTAACATGTTCAACAGCAGCAGCAGCAGCAGCAGCAGGTTCCGGTACGGGAGGTGGACCCTTGGGTTCTGCTGCTGCGACGGCTGCAGCAGCTGCTGCTGCTGCAGCAGCTGCTGGAAACACAAGTCCCGCGGCAGCAGCTGCAGCAGCAGCTGCAGCAGCTGCAGCAGCACAATCGGCAAGCCGCCGCAGCAGTGTTGCTGTCGCTGCAGTGCTGTTGCGGTATGGTCTTGTTGCTGCAGCAGATGTTGATGCTTACTTAGGTAAAGAAGTACAAAGGCATGCAGCCAGACAGGGAGGAGGCTTCCTAGAGTTCGCTATTGCGCTTCTACGGCTGCTGCAAGAGCAGAAGTGCTGCAACGAAGCAGATTGGCCTCTTACTCTTGCTGCTATTGCTGGAGCACAACTGACACCGCAGCAGCAGCAGCTGGAAGAGTCAAGAAACAGACTTACAGAGGCATTCAAGGCGGAACAGCCACAGGTGTGTCGCTGCTGCTCCTGCTGCTGCTTCTTTTGGTCCTGTTGCTGCTGTTTGTGTTGCTGCGCGTTCTGCTGCTGCTGTTGTGCATGGAGGTGTATTGATGTGTGGGTGTGATGGATACAGGAAGATCCTCCGGTGTACAGCTTGTTGGCGTTGGTGCAGCAGCAGCAGCAGCAGCAGCAGAATCATCAGCAGCCGATAGTGCGTCAGCTGGCATGCTTGCCTCGTGTGTCACGGCAGCAGCAGCAGCTGGTGGAGCGTGTGTTCCGTGATTGGTTGCTCCTATGTGCTGCAACATCTGGTGGGGGTGCAGCAGCAGCAGCAGCAGCCGCAGCAGCAGCAGAACGCAGCTTTGTTGTAAGAGCAACATTCTTCCAGCGTATCTCTCATCAGGGATTACTGCGGATGGATGGTAACACCGATCGCTTCTTTGCTGTTTCCTTGAAGCTAGCTGTTGCTGCTGCTATTGCGCCCTTATCTGCTGCATCAGCAACAGCAGCACCTGCAGCAGCAGGAGCAGCACCGGAAGATGGCTCATCACCAGCATCATCGGCAGCAACCGCAGCAGATGCCTCTGCAGCAACACCAACAACACCATCATCAGCAGCAACACAAGCAGCACCAGGGGTTCCTCGTGTAGATGAGCAACCAGAAGAAGTAAGAGAATTATGTGTATTAAGCTTAGATGGTTTTGTTAAGATGATTGTTGGAATGATGGCATTAGTAGACCCTAATCAGATATCTCCTGTAACGATACTACAAAGAGCAACAGCAATAATATGTAGGGCAATTCATGAGGAAGCAGAAGTACCAGCAGCAGCAGCTGCTGCAGCAGGTGATGATGATGCAGCAGCTGCAGCAGTAGCAGCAGCTGCAGCGGGAGCAGCAGCAGAGCGTCAAAGGGCATATTATAGAATATTTTTATTGTTATTAAAGGAGTTGGTTGTGGATATAGAGGATAATCAGCATCATAATAATAATCATCCTCATCATCCCCATCATCCCCATCCTCACCATCCTCAGCAGCAGCAGCAGCAGCATGGGCAAGAGATGCATGCATTGGCATGCTTACAGACGTTAGGAGAACGTTTAGTAATATTATCTCCTCTACGTGTTCCTTCTTTTGCCTTTGCATGGCTAGATCTAATAGGTCATTATATGCTGCTGCCTCGTCTAGCAGGCAGCAGCAGCAGACGTTGCTGGTTGCTGCTGTTGCAATTATTAAAGGAATGGTTTATGTTTTTACGTCCTTTTATAATACGCGAATATCTACCTGCTGCAGTAAAGAAATTATATGATGGTACATTACGTCTGCTGCTTGTGCTGCTGCACGATTTCCCTGAATTCCTCTGCTGCTTCCATTTTGAATTATGCGAATGCTTACCATTTAATTGTGTACAATTAAGGAATTTAATTTTATCTGCATTCCCTCGTTCTATGAAATTACCTGATCCTTTCTTACCTAATCTAAAGGTTGATTTATTACCAGAGATAAGGATATTACCTGCTGTTTATACTCCTTTCCCTCTTATATTATTTAAGAAAGGAATTAAACAAATTGTTGATCTTTATCTTATTCATAAAAATTACTCATTATTACCACAACTACTTAAGAGATTACTCCTTCCTCCTTCTCTTGCTCTTACAACAGGAACTAAGTATGATATTACCATTATTAATGCTCTTCTTCTTTATCTAGGGACTGCGCCTCTTACCAGACAACAGCAACAGCAACAGCAAGGTGCAGCAGCAGGGGGAGAAGAGGGGGCGGGAGGAGATGGTCTTACAACTTCTCCACAACAGCAGCAACCTAAAACATCAACAACAGGAGGATCACCAGCTGGTTCACCAGCAGCAGGAGGCAGCAGCAACAGCAGCATGAATGCTTGTGGTTGTTCACAGGAGATAGTATTATATCTGTTTAGAGAGGCAGACATGGAGGGTCGTTATTTATTATTAAATTCAATAGCTAATCATTTACGTTATCCTAATGCCCATACACATTTCTTCTCCTGCCTACTTTTATGGTTATTTATTGAAAGTAATAATGAATGTATTAAGGAACAAATTACTCGTGTATTATTAGAGAGACTAATTGTGCATAGACCTCATCCATGGGGCCTCCTCATTACCTTCATTGAACTTATTAAAAACCAACGGTAAGAACCATACATGTATAAACCCTAATAAACACTAAACCCTAATAAACCCTAATAAACCATAAAAAACCCTAAATAGCATTACACCCTAGGAATGGATTATTTTACACACAGATGTGTTGAACCCTTACTAGGGTTTAGTTAGTAGGGTTTGTTAGTAGGGTTTGTTAGTAGGGTTTGGTAGGGTTTATGCATCACACATGAATATATACGCATTTAAAATATTAGGACAAAATACGAAATAATAAAAGTAAAAAAATAAATAAATAACAAGAATTGAATTGTTTCTTTTTGTCTTTTTCTTTTTATCTTCAGGTTTAAGTTCTGGGAGTGCTCGTTTGTTTCTGCTGCTCCTGAAGTTGAGAAGTTATTCCAATCTGTTGCTGAGACATGTTTATATCAGGCATCGGATCGGCAGCAGCAGCAGCAGCAGCAGGAGCAGCAGCAGCAACAGCAGCAGGAACAGCAGCAGCATCAGCAGCAGCTGGCCCAGGCCGCGAGGTAAAGAGAGAGGAAGAACTCGTCAATCGCTACTTTGGTGCTGTTTGCTGTTGTAGCTGCAACAGCAGCAGCAGCACCAGCAGCAGCAACAACAACAACTAAACAGCAAGAGCAGCAACAGCAGCAGCAGCAACAGCAGCAGCGCTGTGGCTTGTTTTTTCGGGTGTTAATAGAAGGAATTTGTGCTGTTTATTGTTACTGCTGCTTTGCTGCTTATGTTTTTCTTTATGCATACATCTATGTTTTATATACATAGATGTATATTTATATATTTATTTATTTATGTTTATTTATGTTTATGTTTATATTATTATATATTTATTTATATTATTATATATACTATATTAACAAATTATATTCTCAAAAACTTTATAAATGTTGAACAAAGCACAACTCTCCTTAGGGTTTAGGGTTTTAGGGTTTAGGGTTTAGAGTAGTCAGCGGAGCCTTTGTAGGCTTTTGGTCTAGTTTGTTGGCTCCCCTCTTAGGGATTAGTGTTTAGGATCCAGGAATAGTACATCTATTGATTCTTTAGGAGGTTTTGTTCTTTTGTGGCCTTATTAGCTGTCTATTTCAAGGTTTAGGGTTTATTCGTAATGGCATTTACTATTAAGAATATTGAGTAAAATGTATTGGGGCATATATTAGGGTTTAGGGTTTCATTGGGTTACGAGAGCCCATATAAGGGTTTAGGGATTCAACGGGGATGACGTAGGGAGAGTTAGGGTTTAGGGCTTTATGTGTAACAGTTCTCTTAACTACCAGCTGTGAGTGTATGAACGCTGGAGGGGGTTTAGGGTCGGGGATTTAGAACGAGGGTTTAGGGTTTGGGGTCCGTGGTGGACACACGACTCGAGATGAGGCTAATGTTACGGTTTAAGGGTTAGAGGTTAAGGTGTAGTACGATGCTCATGAACTCGCTTATGGCGAGGGTTTTGCGACCTTAAGAACTCGTATGATTCAAATTAAGGTTTAGGGTTTAGGGTTTAGGGTCAGTAGAGCGCTGGAGTGTGTGGGTTTGTGTGTGTGTGCGTGTGTGTGTGTGTGTGTGTCTGTGTCTGACTGCCTCTTCTGGCTATTTGTTTTGTGGGTAATATTATGAATGAAAATCATTGTATTATTTATATTTTGTAAATTATTTAAAAAAATGAGTTAGTTTAAAATAAGGAAGCAGAAGGCGGTTGCAGGGGGGTGCCTATACAACCCAAGTTCCTTCTTCCTGCTGCGGTGCAGTCCAGTGGCTTCTTACAAGTTGGCTGCGGGGAAGGGAGAACGGGAAGATACATCAATAGGGACATAAAAATAATAGAAATGAATTATTTTAAATATTCAAAATATATACTTGTTCAATTTATTATCTTTTAAATATTTATTGCAAAAAATAAATAAGAAAAAATCACTCCTACAGACCCTCGAGGCACCGCTAGTCGGCGGCGGCCAGCTGCTGCCTCCGTCGACATGACTCGAGCTGCCTATGCACATGGAAACCCACAGGATCACAACGACCATAAACCCTAAACCCTAATCTCTAATCTATAAACCCTAAATCCTAAACGCTGAATTCTAATATAGACAGACAAGGCATCATGGACGACCACGTTCCGTATTATCATCTGCCGCTCGACGGAAGTAAGGCACACAAACCCTAAACCCTAAACCTTAAACACCAAACCCTAAACCCTCATATATTTATGAGTAGGGGGGAAGATTTGGAATAGACACAACATCTTTTGTATTTTTCTAGAAGATCCAAACCCCAAACCCTAAACCCTGCAGGAGTCTGCATCGACAGTAGAAACAATTTTAAGGGTTTGTCTGTACATGTTATTTTCCCCTTTTTCTGTTTCCTTATCCTCTTTGTGCCTCCGTTTGCTGCATTTGTGTCTCCCTTGTGTCTCCCTTCGTCTCCTGTTGCCTCCCTGTGTCTCTTCATGTATCCTTTCTGTCCCCATTGTGTATCCTTTTCCGCTTGTCTTGTTGTCTAGGGTTCAGGGTTTAGGGTTTATGGTTTAGTTACACCAAAAGAGACAGCGATAAACACAGCAGCAGCAAAATACACCAAGGTGCCTCCTGCCGCCATTGCTGCTGCTGCTACTGCTCTGTTATGTTCAGTTGCGGACGTTTCAAGACAAAATACAGAGTCTCTTCCTTCTGCTCCTCGCGCTTACACATGCCCAACTTATAATAGCCCCCACTGGCTTGATCAGCAGCAGCAGCAGCAGCAACACCAGCAAGAGCAGCAACAGCAGCAGCAGCAACAATGGAGAACAGACGATGCAGCAGCATACTTGGGCTACGCGACGTTTTTAAATACAAATAAAAGCACAAGATTGAGAAGCAATAAAGTTAGTGTCTCCTTTTTTTTGTCTCTTTTTTATTTATTAATTATTCTCCTTTTTATATATATTTAGTGTCTCCTTTTTATTTTTATGTCTACTCTTGTGTTTATTCTTAAATGTATCTTTCTGTTTCCATCTCCTTCTTTCTTTAAAAATATTTATGCCTCCTTTTGTTTTTTTTTTCCTTCTTTCTCCATATGGTTCCTCGGTCCATGTGTGCTGCTGTATTGCTACTTCTGCTGCTGCTGCTGCTGCTGCTGCTGCAGGAAGTAGGTTTATTATCTGTCTTATGGGATGATTCTGCATCTCCTTCTGTTGAGTCAAAAAAATCAGAAAAAGATATAAGAAGAGAAAACAGAAAGAGCAAAAGTGATGCAAAACTCTGCTGTGGGCTTCTTGACTAAGAGCAGCAACACAGCAGCAGCAGCAGCAAGAACACCAGGAAGAGCAGCGCAAACTACAACAACACAACAGCATCAGCAGCAACGGCAGCAGCAGTAGCAACAGCCGTAGCAGCAGCAGCAGTATGGGAAAGTGTAAAAACATTTATTATTTAAGTATTTAAAATATGATATATATGTTATAGATGAGGATCTAGCTGTTGCTGTTGCTCTGGTAGTCCAGAAGCAGCAGCAGCAACAGCAGCAGCAAACAGTAACAGCAATTACTGTGCTGCTCGAGGTGCACGTACACCTGGCCCTCTTGACTTCTCCTCGGCCTCTGCCCCTCAGCTGCTAAAGCCACTGCAGCAGCAGCAGCTGCTGCTGCAGCTGCAGCAGCAGCCGCCTTAGCAGCAGGATAGTTAGCAAGAGTTGCATTTTAAGAAGCAACCGCAGTAATGAGCTCCCGTAGGAGCAGCACCCCGTGCATTTGAAAATGTTGCTGCTGCATCCATAGCAGCAGCAGCAACAACAGCTGCAGCTGCAGCAAATGGGTATTTTATTTGGTTTTTATTCTCTGCGCTCTAAGAGAAGAGCTGTGCCGCTTAACACCCATTTAGACGGATGTTCCAATACAGGAAGGGGCACAGACCCCAAACAACCCTCTGCAGCAGCAGCAGCAGCAGCAGGAGTATGGGCAGTATAAGTAGGGGCACAAATGCAGCAGAGGTAGTAGCAACGGGAGCACTCACAGTAGCAGCAACAGCAAAAGCAGTAGCAGCAACAGTAGCAGCCTCTTTCAGCAGCAGCAGCAATAGCAGCAACAACAACAACGGCAGCAACGGCAACAGCAGCAAGCAGACATTAAGGAACATCAACAAAGAAAGAAGTGCTGCTGCTATAATAGACGAATAAACAAACCTCTTGAACTCCTATCTGGTGTTGTATAAAGAGGACAGATGTATTGCTGTGGCTGCTGCCCATCCGGTCCTTGACCTCCTGCGCCGTCAGCGTCGTTCTCTGGCTGCGTGTCTACTGGTGCCAATTCAGGCTGCAGCAGCAGCACGGGAAAGTCCTGGCATACAGCTGATGTTGCTGATGTTGGTGCGGCTGCTCCTCCTCCTGTTGCTGCTGCTCCTGTTGCTGCTGGTGCTGGTGCTGCAACTGCTTGGTCTGTTAGCACCCCTTGATCAAAATCCCAGTAGCCTCCTTCAAGAGACAGCCCGTGTACATACACCCCAGTAGGGGTCTTGTTTCTACCAGCTGTAGCCTGCAGTACCCTGCAGTAGGAGCAACACCAACAGCAGCAGCAGCAGTAGGAGCAGCGATAGCAGCCCAAGTTCTCTGCGCTGACACACCAAACCCTAAATAACAAGACCTCTCTTAGGCATTTGCATTTATTTGTTAATTATATATATATA